GGGGGGGGGTGGCCCCCCCCCACCCCCCCCCTTCCATGCCTCATGTTCTCATGGTTCTCGTTATTTCCCATCATTTCGTCTTAACATCATGATTCATGCGTTTTCGTGTGCTCGTCGTTTTTCACTCGTTGTCATCTTTTTCATGATTTTCTATCACTTTCATTGTTGCTCATTATCTGTCATCATTTGTCATTATTGTTTATTAGTTCTCATAATTTTTCGTCGCGTTTTTCATTTTTCATCATTTCGCGTGATTTTCATATTTATCCCACCTTCGTTCTTTAGTCTAAACGCGCGTGTATAGTCACACCGAGGCCGTAGAGTTGGGCCCGACGTGTGGCGCGGGGACGACCTTTAGCCGAGCGCGGGCTGCTGGTCTTGGCGTGCCCATCGGACATGTGGAGTTTGTGCGTACCTGGGCAGAAACACGGGTGCAGGAGGAACGAATCCTCCTCGAGCATCTGCCCCAGCTCCCGGACTTGCAATGCGCGTGGCTACTTCTGGCACTCTGTGCCACCCCGCGTGCCAACCATGCATTACGAACAGTCCCCCCGCCAGAAGTGGCGCCATACGCCCAACTGCACGACGCTGCGGTTGGCCGCCATCTTGCCGCAGGAAGCGACGGATGCGCAAGCCATCGCCCAGCTGCCGGCAGCTCTCGGGGGCTTGGGGCTGTTGTCCCTGCCAGTCACGGCATTTGCCGAGACGTGCGTTCGCCTGCTGGAAGGGGCGGGGGGAGAGGCGCCGAACTTGAGGCGCGCAGCCGACGCGCTTTTCTTACTCCAAGGTGAGGGCTGGGAGCGTGCACCGCATGGCGGGACATCGCCGACGGTGTCCCCCCTTGCTACTTGACACGCCTCTCAGGGGAGCCGGCTCGGCCCCGCAGGAAACGCGAGGTCGAGCGCGGCTCTGTCAACCTGTTCGGGTGCGGTGGCGCTAGCCATGCGCAGCCGAGGCCTGGAACATGTTCGAATTTTGTCCTTCATTGTTCATCATCTTTCATCGTTTTCCGCCAGTTGCCATCATTCTGAATGTTTTTCCATTTTCTATGATTCTTTTCATCACCAGTATATTATGTGTCATTTTCCTCAATTTTACACTTTATTCCCTGAATTTTCCATTGTTCGTATAAAAAATGATTTTCCATGATTTTCATATATTTTCATAAACTGCTTGACTTCTGCCTTCTTTCTGTCGGTTGCTTAGGTTATGGGTTTTTTGCTTCCTGGCTTTCTTGCCCGTTGTCGTTTTTTGTTTTGTGGCTTTTGGGCTTTCTAGTTTCTTCGCTTTCGAATCTGTGATTTCTCGCTTTTTGCACCTTCCCGAAGCAGTAGTTGTAGTAGGTGTTGTTGGTGTTGTGGTTATTGGCCGAGCTGTACCCCAACGCCTCCTGGCGCTGGGATCCGAAGGTGGTGGGCGCTGGAATGGTGAGGCGGCACGCTTCGTGTGGGACCTCGCGCGACGTGGACCATTCACTACCCTTTTCATCCAAACTGGGCTGCTGAAAATGAACGACAAAACCACGGATGTTGTATTTTATTGTGTTTATTGGGGTGGGTTTGGGGTGGGCCTAGTGGTGTAAGGATTGAAGAAGTTGTTTCCGTTGTTTTCCCGTTTTTTTCCCCGGTGAACTTTTCCAGGGCAATCCGGGGTCTCAACGCAGGGCATGTCAGGAAGCCCTAATCCAAGGCGACCCGAAAGTCCAAGACGTACAGTTCACACTGACTAGGCCGCAAGGGCAATCGACTAGCCAGTGGCGGAGCAGGAACGTCACCACAAGATGGCAAAAAAAAAAATGGTTTCTTCTTAAACGTTTGTCGCATAAAATCGATACCGAGAACCGTTGCCACCGGTCGCAGGGAAGTTGGTAGCGGATGGAAGTTGCAGCCATTCCTCCCGTTCTTGCATGGCTTCAACTCGACATTGAATGGTTCCAACCTGCTTGCTTGCGTGAGTCACCAGATTGGACCCCTGTCCGCGCACTGCGGATCTGTCGCGGTTCTCCACTGGAGGCTTTGGGCAGCTGGCTTGGCAAATGCGTCATGTTGAAGTTTCCCAGCTCTCGTCGTGGTTCAGGAAATCCGAACGAAACAAGCGGAAAAGAAATGTCTGGCCAAAAAAACGTATCATGCCAAAGAAAACCTCATCCCAGAATTTTTTCTTTGCGCATTCAAGCTTGCAGTGACAATCATTTCGTTTTTCATGTCTTCGAGCACATCGGAGGGTCACGGACACATGGAGATCATCGGGAATTCTTCGCAAAAGTTCAACCATTCAAAACGGTAGCGAGAGCTAGCACCCAACCCTGGTCCACCATAGCTTTTTTTTTTTTTTTTTCTCGTCGATCTACTCACATGCAAAAAGACCATGTTTGAAAAGGCTATTTTTTGACGTTGTCACACATTTTTTGGTTCAATTATGGCACATTTCAAGTTGTAATACCCGTACCACATACGTCTTGTACTTTCCTGACGTACACATCCAATGGGAAGCATGTAAAGACATGCGTGGCCGGCGTCATGTATCTGCAGGTGTATTCCTGAAGACCATCCATGAAAATACGTCTCCTCCCTTGAAGCCATGATCGCCCTCCCCAAGATCGCAATATGCACGAACCCTTGCACCGTTGACCTTCGTTGGTATTATGTTCTTGTTGCATCCTTTAGCTACGAATGACATAGGCATCCTTTTGATACCTGCCATCAGGCACCTTTTTCTTTTGCAGTTCCCTCCACTCGGCGGCCATCTCCATCGCCAAAGGCTGGAAGGAACGCCCACGCCATCCACTTCCTAGTCGTTGATTTTTTTTGCCCAACGCTTGGATTACATATTTCTTGGAAAACATACGTATTTTGTGTAAAATGATTCCACCATCCATGAATCTCGGCAAAACGCATTTCATAAAGGGGTCCTGCAATGAAATTCGTGATTGGGCTGCGCATCTTTTACCAGCAGATCTCCTCGACTCATCTTTAATTTTCTTACTTGGGTTCGTTTCCAAATGCAGCTGTTTGGCTGCATGCTCCCTAGCGGCAACACGGCTCACACCACACAAGCGGAAAACAAGCGCGTGAAGACAAACGTTGTACATGCT